CATATTATAAGGTAAGGTTATAAAACCATCATTTAAGATCATTTTAGTGAAAGTTTCATCCTTCAAGGCGTACCATTCACTGCTGAAATACTAAACAACCTGCTTCCATGGCCGAGATACAGGGCGCCCATATTATAAGGTAAGGTTATAAAACCACCATTTAAGATCATTTTAGTGAAAGTTTCATGTTCCTATCTCATAGAATTTAAGAACAATGATGAATAAATAATTTTCGAGCAAAATTTAAATGGCCGGCTGAATATATTACCGCAGGAGCCGCGGCCGCGGGATTTAAATGACCACGTCAAAGGGTTAACCTCATACAATAATCACACAGTTTTCCGAACAAAATGTTTTACTTTAATGGATAAGTCAAGTACAGTGCGACATTTTCCCTGACATACTGTTTCCAAAACCAATCATATAAATTGTACAACCAAGCTTTTAGAAAACAGTATTTGAATTATGAAATAAAAGACAGTATCTCTGTCGCATAAAACAGCGAAGAGTACCAGTTACCTTGAGAGCCTTGATGACCATTGGTTCAAATAATCTGATGTATGAGGCCAGGGAACTCTTGTCAGCTCCACGACTGAAAACTTTAAATGAAGACCCTTTCCTATCTGCCTTTCTTCGCAAACAATTCATCCACTTTAAAAGCATAAAAACAATTACTTATTATACTAGAAACAGTAATTTGCTTCATGCCCTACAAGAAAAATGTTCTTAATTTCTAACACTGTAGTTAAAAACCATACTTAATGTGGAATATCTTTCACATGTTCCATCTAATTTGTTTCACAAATACCTGTGAATCAAGATTAAGCTTACATGTATCCTTCATCCTTGTTCTGTCTTATTGCTAGGGGATGTAACAAAGTCTGTCAGATGTCTGTAAGGAGTCTGGAAACACACACTGTAGAAACCTTCAAAACTCTGAGTAGCAGTAGCGCAGTTTAATGAAAGTGATGAGGTACGCTGACTGTCATCATGTTCAACCCGTTGGGCTGATAGGTTGGTGCCAAACAGACATTTCAGAAGCTGTAAATATATTTCAGAATATATGTTCAACATACACAATTCAAATTTTGTTATAACTCCACAATTGACTACTATAATATTTACCTGACTTGTAAGCTGAAAGTATTTTTGACTTTCATTCTTATGTCAGAATTTAAGTCGACAGTTTCACTTGAAAGCATAAAAATCATTGTCATTGTAGGTAAAGACTCTATTAAGAGCAAAATTTTAATCAATTATGAAATACTGGACACAGACTGCAACACTCATTACAGATGACAAGAAGACTGATCTGGGGGCAACTACAGAATCAGCAATCATTAAACTGCATATGATATAAGTATCAGTCATGGAGAGAAGCAGTTCAACAATGGCTTACATCAAAAAATAAAATTTTTATTCTGATGAACTGAAAAACTGTATGGATTGTTGGACTAACTGCATTAAACGTAGGGGGATTACACATCTAAGTACTGTGTGATCATTTTGTAAAATTATAATAAAACTGCCTTTAATTTTTTACTTAATTTTGTATTAAACCACAAAGGATAAAATACAAAATGTAACTTCCTTTACCTGCTGTACACATTTCACAGTGGCTGTAGGCTCTACTGTGACAGTAGATCTTAGGTATGAAAGAATTTCTTCTGTGATGTGTCCTGCTTCATTAAGTGTCCCCACCTCAAGCAACTGTGATAATGTTTCAAGTGTCACACGTAACAAACTAACGAACTTCTCACTCACTTGCTCCTGAATCCAAGGTTATCTAGCAAGGAAAATCACATACAAGAAGTAACAGAATGGTTTAAGTGATAACACACATCAAAAAGATCTCCAGTTTTCTTAAAAACATAATTTAATCACATAATTATCAACTCAAAGGTCCTAATTCTTATATTCAATACATAGTGAAGAAAATTTGTCACTGAGACTGACTTAGGAACATTGAAATCAAATCTTATCTAAGACTGGCTTCCTTACTAACACCTAAAAGAGCAGAACTAATAAGAAAGTTGTTCATGCCCATATTTCATCAGCAGAATGCAGGAAAAGTCATAACATGAAGACAGTAATATGCCATTTGAAAATGTGGCAAATTTCAGATATTTCATAATTTTGCTCTCTCTCCCAAATTGAAAATGAAACTGAAGGGATGTTTTGAAACAGTGCCTGACATCCAAAGGAAGTAACAAGCAGTACTTGACAGCATTGAGGAAAATGACTTCCATGGTGCTTCTGAAGCATGGAAAAAACAAGGGGATATCTGTATAGGTTCTTAAGGAGAATATTTTGAAAGAGATGGCAACCAGAATTAAGTCAAGCCAGCATTTCTTTTTTTGCCCTAGTCCAGGATCTTTCCAATACACCTCACAGTTAGCGTAGTGGGTTGGTTACTTAGCAATACCATCAGTATTGTGACTATATGGCATCGGACGATAGGATGATTAACGAATGTGGAAAGGTTGATGAAATGAAAGCTGGCAGCAGAAACTGAAGTACTTGGAGAAAACCCATCCTAGCGCCACTTTGTCCATCACAAATTCCACATTACCTAATGTGGGACTGAAGCCACACTGATGCTGTGGGCTATGGCATGGTCCACATTTATATAGAATGGTAAATTATCTAAAACCCAAATCAAGCAGAAATCTATAAATGAACCTAAAGTAAATTTGTTAATAAAAACTGACTAATAATTCACATAGCTTGATCTGCTCACCTTATAATTGGTATAAGCACTTTTCACCATGTCACATATCTTCATGTAGTGAGAAATACCAGTAAAGAATTCCATAAATGTTCCTCGAGCACTTTTCCTATCCTCAACAGACTTCTCTTCCTTATCTACAAAGAATGCAGGCACTTTTAATATGTTTTACACAAATATGAAACCAATAATTTTAACAAGAAATAAGAAGACCCATCTTACACTGATAATCAGTTATTTTCTAATAATTAATGCGTAATGAGAAAATTAAGACAAGATGAGGAACAGAATAAGAAGATGAATAAAATTATATATGAGAAATTCAACACAACTAGCTTCTACGCTGTCATTAGATGCCTTCTGATGATAAAGAAATTGATCAGATTATGGTGCACAAACTGATGAGTACAAAAACAAAAAGAACTTTTGTTACAAAAAAATACTTTAGACCATCCTGAACTGACGTGACCATGTACTGAGATAAGGAAATACTTTATAAACTTTGAATACTGCAATTTGTATATGTCTCGATTACACCAGATACATTTTTACCTTGATTATTTGTACAAGGTGGGCCAGACTCAATTAGGTAGTTTTTGATCATTAATAACTAACCAATCCAACAACACACGGGATAATAGGAAAGTACCTTTTGTTGTCGATAGATGGCAGCATCATACGGTATGCTGTGAACGAGGTCAATACTCTGCCTACTTAGTGCGCATCAAGGAAATGTCATGGCCGGTAGATGGGTTGTCTATCGAGCAGCATGTAAAATGTGTGTGCCTTTTCTCAGTTACTAACAATGTAGCAGAAGTACAGCACAGGATGTTGGAAGAGTTTGGACTGCCAGCAGTCCACAGGGACACAATCGTGTGAATAAACAAGCACTTTGATGAAACTGCCAATGCTTTGAATCCCAAGCATCCTGGTCAGCCGAGAACTGTCCGAACTGCTGACACACAAGCACGTGTTGCTGCGGAACTGGCATCATCTCCTCAGAAATCGAAGTCTACCCACTGTTTGTCGGCCCTACTGGACATTTCGAGGCCAAGTTTGCGGAGAGTTTTTAGTGACATCAAGCTGACGCCATACCATCCACGGCTTATTCATGTTCTTAACGAGGACGACTTCGACAGGCGACTTGAGTTCACCGAGTTGATGCTGACAAAGATTCAGGAGATCCTGACCTTATCTGGAATATTGTCTGGACTGATGAGGCCAAATTTCACACATCAGGATCGGTCAACAGACACAACTGCGTGTTTTGGCGGCCAGAGAACCCCAGTGCCACCATTGAATACGATTTCCAGTCCCTGGGAGTGATGGTGTGGGGCGGCGTGACGTATGAATTGACTGATTGGCCCATTCTTCCTTGAAGGTTGCGTCACGGGGGAAACCTACCTAAAGTTGGTGGGAGAAAGTGTCATCCCAGAACTTCAGAGGAGAGAGAACTTTGATGAACTGTGGTGGCAGCAAGAGGGGGCCCCACCACACCTCGCCAATATTGTTTGGGCGTTCTTGCATCAAGTTTTTCCTCAACGCTGGATTGGCCGTCGAGGACCTGTGGAGTGGTCAGTCTGATCACCCGACATCACCCCACCAGACTTTTTCCTTTGGGGTTACCTCAAAGACAAGGTGTACGCTAATCCCATTGACATTGTGAAACATCTGCGTGAGGTGATTGTTCAGGAGTTCAATAAAGTTCCAGTGAATATGTGTAGAAAGGCATGTGAAAATGTTGCTTTGCGTCTGCAAGCCTGTGTTTACTTAGGTGGTGCCCAAAGCGGCCTCCGTAGTCTAAGAGGTAACGTTCCCACCTCATGACTCGTAGTACGCAGTTTCAAATACCCGGCGGAGGTCATTGAATTTTTAAGGGCGGAAAAATTCAGGGAACAAGTCCTCCAGGAGGAACTTTAAGCCGTCGGTCCCGTGTCATAGCTTTACAGCACGTAAAAGAACCTCATATCTCCAAAGGAGGTCACTGAGCCAAATTACAGGCATTTCCCGCCCAACAGCAGTCTCTAATACCTCTGGTAGATGGGGGAAGCATTATAGATACCTCTCAGCTAGTAGAGCCGGTCTCGCTGGCTGGGCCGGACTGATGGTAAGCACCAGTAACGGTAGGATATAGAGACTGGTAGAAATCATAGAGGGAAGCACAATGGACCAATACAGGTCTGAGTGCATGGGGAAACCCACCCTCTCCAATAACTAACTAGGTGGTGCCGAGGTTGACCAGCATCTTGAAAATCGATGGCATATGTGTGTGCGATTCCATTTTTGTAACCATTGCAATTGTTAACATTTATCAATAAAAATAACTTCTAATCATAAACTGCCTAACTGAGTCTGGCCCACTCTGTAGATTGTTATTAAGGGTAACTATCCATATAACAAGTTTGCTGAAATAAACAATACATACTTAACAAGCATATTCAGCTGAAGGAATTACAGATGAACTAACCAGACTACAATGAGCTCTTCTCTTATTTATAACAAATAAACATCAAATTGACATGTGCAACTAATCACTGTTTTTGGGTAATGACACTTACTGAAACTTATGTTAAGTCATGACTACAGTAATCCCTCTTTTAACATTATTGAGATATTCTTGTAGAGCATAATGCTATGCAAAACAACAACAAGTGAATCCATTTTTACCATTATAAACTTAAGAAATACGTAGGTTATGTTATTCAGCCTTTTTCACCATCAAAATTTGCACTGCAATATAGACAATATGAAGGCAACTAAGTATCTGTACATTCCTGACCATAAATAAATGTAATTATAAATTACAATAATGTCTATTTAACATTTAGTGTGATATAATGTATTCACTGATGGCCAAAGGTGAAGTGAGCAAGTGCTGGGCGATGGCCCAGTCTTGTCAAAATTAAACATTTTTTGGACAAGTAACATTCATCTTTGACCATTTTCTTAAACTCTGGAATGAACACCACTGTTAACAAGTTAACACAATGCTGTGCTGAGTTTTGGTATGAAAACACTATCAATGTAATAAAGAAACGTTAACTGGGACGTTAAGTGAGGACTTGTATATAGACATACTGAATGAATAAACAATCAGTATTAAGGATTTGATCTTTACATTTATTACACACTAAGCAAAAATTAAATATATGTAAACTGTTTAATATGTGCTTCAAATGACAATGTAATGGAACACTATATTAAAAGAATAAAAGGAATCTGGTTTTAATGATGTCTAAACCCACACAGATTTTCTTCTGTTTTTTTAGTTTGCCATGATTGACTGCTGGGCATGGTGGTTTGAAAATATACTTATAATATCCCTTTTCTTTAAATATCTGGAATGTATATGACATAAAATGTATTTACTATTTTCCTCTACAGCTTTTATAAACATTCTTCTCTCTGACAAATATACAGTGAGATATATGCAGAAATGTATGTAGGTCTTTATGTAGTCACCATTAAACATGTCCAATGTAAATGAACTTTGAAGTGGCTTGACATTTTTTGTAACATTCTAAAAATACCATATTTCATGCAAATCTTTCCAGTGGTTCTTGAGCTGCTCCATGTGAACAGGCAGACAGATACACTGAATAAACATGGTAAGCACTTAGCAGGCTTCTGAATGTGCATAAAAAGGTATATTTATCTAATGGAGAACATTACACAACAAAAAGATTCATAATTTTTACCGTTCACCAGGTATCATTAGGGTGATAAAGTCAAGGAGAATGAGACAGGCAAAACGTGTCTCACGTATGGTGACAAAAAAAAAAAATTGTAGAAAATTTACATGGAAAGAAAAGACAGCATTATGGACATCTGGATGGAGATAGGAGGACAACATTAAAAAAGATCTTAGAAATAGGGTGTTAAGCATGTTGACCTGATAACAACACAATCCAGTCTTGGGCTCTTGTGAAATGAACTTTCTGGTTCAAGGGTGCATCATTTATTAATCAAATGAAGTACTATAAGCTTCTGAAGAAATACCTTGCTGAAGTGTTCACAGGTGACAACCCTAATGTTATCCCTGCCGCTGTTGCTGTTCCTGTTACTTCTGCAGCTTTGCCTTTGCGTTTAATTGGAGAGAGAGAGATGGCGCAGTAGGAAGAGAGGGAAGTGATGGTTTTCGTATTGGAATAGTAGGCACCAGTTCTTCCAGGATGTGCACAAATATGTTAAATGTGCGCACGACATGCAGCAGAAGCAACTCGGCACATGAAGACAACTGCAAACAGATCAATGAGTCTTCCACTTGATTTAATTAAGCAGTACATGCCAGGAAAATACCTTAATTTTATGTGATGATTTTTCCATATGTACAAAATTAATAACTGATGGTTGCAAAGATTTGTATCACTATAATAAAATCCTTGGTTTCACTTTAGAGTTTGAGGTGTTCTGGAGTGCTGATTATCAAACCTTCCTCATACAAAAACAGCAGAATGCTATTGGTTTTCTGAGAATTTACATTGTACAGTACAAATAATAATATGCATAATAAAAACCAAATTATTACTAGCATGTCTAAGTATGCTTATTTACAATATACAAATTAATAGCTTCATGTTACATTAAAACAGAAAAGAATAGTCACCTATACTGATTACCTGCAATTAAAAATTATGCATGAGGGCACCTGAAATAACTGAAATTGTCCTGAGATTTGTAATAAGTTTGTTTCCTCATTTCTCAGTGGTACAGTTATGGACACCAAATTTCTGTATGCTCAGTACATGACTACATGCCACAACAAAGTCAAAATAGCAGTAACAATTAACAAGTTAAGCATATATATTTTGTGTTCTCATCTCTCCTGCAGTGGGACATTACAGTTCCACAGACATTTCAATTTGTTATTTTGGCATTTAATTTTATAACTGTTGCTCCTGTTTTAAAATTCAATATCTCAACCACATGTCATTATAAAATTATGATACAAAGTTTCTGAAAGATCAATTTTCAGATTTCATATATCCATATTTCCACATTAAACTTTGTATGTACTTTTTGGTAAAATTTCAAATTTTCATATTTTTCTCAAAAAGTATGCTACTGTCGCCACTAACAAGCATTTCGGTTCCCAATATGTAATTACAAAGGTATGTCTGACTCATGCACATTCACTATATGCAGTCCTGACCAGCATATGGTGTTTAGAAATGAAACACAATCATAGGACCTGACTGATAAAACTACCTCCAGCCTAAACACACACACGCATGTTTGATTACTGAAACATTTCACTATGTCCTACTCCAGCTCTGGCTCTCACTGATACAGACACTTCTTATTGATCTGGGTGCCGAATCTGTACTTAAATTAATTTAAATTCGCTTAGTGGGGGGTGGAGTCCAGCTGGGTCCACTCAGCATGGTGGCCACCGACTGGCCTATTGTACCTGTCCCGGGTGGTTATGATGATGGAGAATTTGGTGGAATTAAGATTGGCAGGGGAAACCGAAGTACTCTGAGAAAACCTGCCCCAACGCCTCTTTGTCTACCACAAATCCCACTTGGCCAGACCCGGGAATGAAACCGGGCCGCCGTGGTGGGAAGCCAGTGACTAACCACTTGAGCTATGGCATGGCCAAATCTGTACTTTCTCCAAAAGCTCATGGCTACTGAAGATCACAATATCTACAACGGTGTAGCTGAAAACATTCATAATGTGTACAGTGGTCATACTCAC